AATTCATAGAGATTTGATTGATGTTGTCCAAAGTTTTTTTTAATTCTGGTGCAATGCTAAAATATTGGAATCACACCCTTGTATCTCTCATTCCCAAATGTCAAACTCCTACCTCTCTCAATCATTACAGACCTATCTCTCTATGCTGTGTTGTCTACAAAGTGCTTTCTAAGCTGTTGGCTACCAAATTAAAATCATGTCTCTCCACTTGCATTAGCTCCTGCCAATCTGCCTTTGTACAAGACAGACAACTATTGGACAATGTTATTCTGGCACAGGAGGTTTTTCACTTTCTCAACAGGCATAGATCTGGTAAGAATCGTTTTATGGCCATTAAGCTCGACCTTATGAAAGCTTTTGACAGAGTTGAGTGGGTCTGTATTGAGAAGATTATGATCAAAATGGGATTCACTCTAAGCTTTGTGAAACTGATAATGGTGTGCATCTCAACCACTTCTTTTTCTTTCTCTGTTAATGGGGCTCTTACAGATACTATTCATCCTTCAAGGGGAATCAGACAGGGGATCCTCTATCCCCCTATCTATTTATCATTGTCACTGAGCTCTTAACTGCCCTCATTGCTGACTCTCTGAACTGTGGTGAGCTGTCTGGCATCAAATTATCCAAGAATGGTCGTATCTTATCTCACTTGATGTTTGCTGATGATGCCCTTTTCTTCTGTAAGGTTGAGGTGGGCCAAGCTCAGGTGCTTATGAGTATTCTGGAGAGATATAGACTTTTTACTGGTCAAAGAGTGAATCTTCAGAATTCCTCAGCTTTCTTTAGTAAAAACACTCCTACTCATATTCTGAATCTGATTTGTTCTGCTATGAATGGCATTCAGCATCACTCTTCTACCAGATACTTAGGTCTCCCCTTGGGAATTGGTAGAGCTAAGTCTGAGGTCTTTGCTTATGTGATTGCTGCTGTTAAAGCCAAGCTTTGGAACTGGAAAAGCAAGATGATCTCCATAGCTGGCAAGGAAGTTCTTCTCAAGGCTATCATAAATGCTTTGCCTGTTTTCACTATGTCCAGTTTCAAACTTCCTGTGTCCATCTGTAAAGCTATTGCTAGCCTTAGTGCCCAATTCTGGTGGAGTAAAGGAGAATCTCAGGAGAAAGGCATACATTGGAAAGCTTGGAGGTTGTTGTCTCTGCCTAAAAAAGATTGAGGTATAGGCTTCAAGGATATTAGTTCCTTTAATCAGGCTCTCATTTGCAAACAATTATGGAGATTAGTCTCTCAGCCCGACCTCCTTGTAAGTAAAGTTCTAAAAGACAGATACTTCCCTTCTTGTTCTATATTTGAGGTTCAGAAATCCCAGAATGGATCTTGGTTGTGGCACACTTGGCTTGACTGCATTCCTATTCTTGCTCAAGGCCTCAGAACTGAAATCAACAATGGTGTCTCAACCAGAATATGTGACATTAACTGGATCCCCAGTCTTCCTCTGGTCAAACCGACTTTACTGGATATTGCTCAAGGCCATATCACGTGGGTCAAGGAACTGCTCCAGGAAAATGGTCAGCTCTGGAATTCTTGGCTGGTTAAAAACCTTTTCCCAGATGAAGTTAGTCAAGCTATTCTCAAGATCACTACTCTTAACCCTAATAGACAAGACAAACTTTACTGGTGCATGGAAAAGAAAGGCCACTTCTCAGTCTCATCCACTTATGCTTACTTGATCAATCAAAAGAGGCACAGTTGGGATATCCCTGAAAACAGCACTAATGCTCTTCTTCTTAAGAAAGCCAGAACAAAAACCTGGAGTTTGAAAGTGAAAGGAACTCTGAAGCATTTCCTTTGGAAATGTATTTCTGATACACTCCCTGTAAGTACTAAGCTGTTGAAAAAGGGCATTCCTGTTGATGTCATTTGTCAAATATGTGGTGAGGCCCCTGAAACCATTGAACATACATTCTTCCATTGTTCCAGAGCTGTGTTATTTTGGAAACTCAGCCCCTTA